TTTAGAAATTTTATGGAGTGAATACTATTAATCTTTAATAAAAAGCAACTATTTTTTAGTATTTGACTTACGAAATAAGAATTATTAAATTAAATTGTAGTTAAACTTTTCAGTTAAAATGATTTTAAAACAATTTTCCTTTTTGAAATAAATTATTTATACACAATTCGTAATTTAATAATAATTTAATATGAAAATAAATAATAATAATAATTAATAATAATAATAATTAATAATAATATATTTATATATTAATATAATTAACATATTACGTTACGTTTAAGGGCCGGAGCGCCCATCCTGTCAGAATGTTTGCTCCATTAAAGCACGAAAAATACTGCTCCAATTTGAAAAATAAACAGAGTACTCCGATTTATTTTTTCAAATCGGAGCAGTTTATTTCGAGATTTAATGAAGCAAAGGTGAGTATAATTTTTGACAGATTAATTTTGACATTCATGGTAGCGCCATCTATTAGAAGAAATAGGAGTGCATAGTTAAAATTATCCAGTTGAGTGAGTAATGGTAAACTTCATTTTGAGTATGGCAACAATGGAGTTGTGTTGATGTGTGATATATAGATGTAGGCAAATACAAAAAAGTAACTGTTTTGATTTTTGGAGCATGCCAACAATAATATCATTTGAAAACTTATACTGAGTGATGTAACAATTTCGGTTTAAATTAACTAAGAAATGATTAAAAGTGTTATAATATTTAGAATAATTAATAGAATTAAACAGAATTAATTTTCATTACTTTTAGTATTGATTTTAATGCAGTTATTCCCTTTTTCCTCAAAGTTTTGCAGTTATTCCCTTTTTCTTTATTTTAACCATTTATTTCATAATTTAACATTGCTCGTATATTCAAATATTACAGATTACTATATTTATTATCTTGTCTGATGAAAGTATAAGTATCAAAGATACCAAATTTAGTATTATCTCAATTTTGACAAAAATTGCAGTTATTCCCTTTTTCCTTATCACCACAGATTTCATACGTAATATCTAGATCTCTACCTGGGGTCATTTAAGACAGAATTCGCTATCTCTTAAACAGAATTCGTCTCTCTTTGCTTTAGCATTTTCATATATTCTCCTCAATGATGCATGAAATTTGAACGGAAGTAGACGAACTCGTTCTATCTTGCGTCGGAGGAGATTTCACACCATGCCTATATCGTGCGATTCATAGACAGATGAATTTTCGCCACTGACAAATTTCATTGGGTAGAGATGCACCTTCAACAGGACTATCGTTTTCAGGACATTAGATGGATTGGACATTGTGGATAGTTCGATCGATTTTATTCTGCATACTCTGAATGTCAGCAAGTTGTTCTGCTGTGAATTTTAACTACTGAATATGTATCGTCGTTGACTGGCAAGCTTCTATGAATCTAGAGTATATCTAATATTAGGGTTCCCGTCTCTCCATATCTTGTAAACTTCTATTTCTGAGCCTTCATTTTTCACGTTTGCTTAGTAAAAGCATCACATTACCTCCTTCCATTGATCCCATGTCCATCTCTGACGATGGCTTCAAGCTACTGCCGACTCTGTTTACACCTGTTCAGTTACCAAGCTAATGTCACCTTGTCGACGACTGCATTGGACAATGCAATGATGGATATTTGGGAAGTTCATTCTTGAACGGCGAAAGGATGAGAAAGATAAGAGAAGGCAGTTTTATTTACTTAACGTTAGTGTTACAATGTTCTCTACAATCAATAAAATGGTATATTCCACTTTATTAAATTCCGATAGAATGAAGGTACAGATATGAATAAGTACGTAATACGTGAAATCATTCTTCATTGCCTGCATGATGGAATGCGAGCTGTTACAAATAATGCGAGAAAGTATGTGCTGTTTAGCACCACTAGTTTATTATAATGTTTACAGTGTACAAAATTGTTATTTGCAAGTTATTTGCCCTATTCATTATAGTAATTACTGAATTTAATTAATGTTTGATAAAGTGAAGAAATCTTTAAGGAAAACTTTAAAAAAATAACTTATTAATAGTTCAAAAACGTCAGTGAGATGGATGGACCTGTTTCGTAACTCACAGTTCATCGAATCTTGGCACTAATTTAGAAATGGCAATACGCATTTCATTCTGGATATTACTATGTGATCTATATTTTGTCTTAATCACCGTCATGGCTGAAAATCCTGTTTCACATAGGTAAGAAGTGGTAAATGGAAGCAGAACATGCAAGGCTTAATTCTTGATTCTGTATACTCATTCCCTAGAGAGCACTAAAATTCGGACAATGTTGCAGTTTGATACACTGTCTTTAGTGTGTTGTCTGATGCAACGAGTTCTTCTTCTTCTTTTGCGGAATTTAGAAATTATTACGTCTCAGAGCACTATTTAATTCCATGATTACAGAGTTCTTGCGCTTTCCTGGGGAGGTGCGCATTTAACCTGAGTTGAATGATCAAGAAACTAGTTGTGAGCAGCTGCAAAAACGTTTCTGAACAAATCCACACAAAATAATTTTCTAAAAATGTTCGCGCATCCTGCTCAAGAGCAACAAATAGAATACTTACTGATAACACTGCTATAAATTAAATATTTTAGCAAAAACAGCTTTCACAAATACTGCAATAACATAGTATATAATATATTCGGTACAATATGTATTTCCATCCCAAGAATATCAACAAGTTGCAGTTCCATAGTGCAACCCGTGAATAGCAAATTTTGCATGGTGGCCAAGCTCTTCCATTAAGCCTAGCTGTTGCATGATGACAGCTGTCCTGTTCGTAAGTAGAAGTAGTGAATATGAGAACTCAGTATGATTAGTATCGGAATGGGCGGATTACCACTAGGACAGAAAAAGGCGTCCTACCTTTTGGCGGTCAAATAACCGCAAGGGGATTAAATACATTAATTTAATCTGATGGTTTTCAATATGAACGAACTAGTATAAGTTCATTCATATACACTGAATTTGTTTTCACAATGGAAAAGAAACACATTAAATCTGTTAGTTGATTCAAGGAAATTTGCATAACCTGATTAATACGAACTTTATTTATTTATTTACGTCAAAAACAGTTTAAAACTGTGTGTAGCGTGCTGTGGGGAGAAGTTAATTTCAAGTTACATTTATGTCCAGAAGCAAAAAAAGGGGTCATCTCAGCATATTGCTCAAGGATCAGGGAAACTGGGCGAAAACCTGATCAAGTTGATGGAGACCATTGACTTACAAGCTGAAATACAACTTCCTTTATTTCAACTACTTTCAACTGGTGAGAAAAATGGTTATATATTTTTTACATTTAAATACGTATTTTCCCATTTTGACCTGAGACATGAGTAATATAGTAATTTCATGAATTTAGTAGAAAGTATTTTTGTTGAATTGAATTAAAATAAAGTAATGCCTTATTTTACGCGGCGATACTCGGGCCATCAGGCCCGCTCTTCTGTCTGACCACGCAAATTTCGTTACGCTCCTTTTACCAACTAGCGGAGAAATTAGGTATTTCTTGGGCGACAAAACAGGCGATTTGAATTTATAGCTCTGAGACGTCATTTAGGCTTGAGGATATTTTACATGCATTTAAATCTACTAACATGGGACAGCCGGCCTCACTTCCCCTCCGAAGGAAGGCGTACGAAGGACTTTTTCGCCCTTAAAAATCCACGACGTCGATCGGGTTTGAATCCGATAACAGTCCGATACGCTAACTGTTACACCATCCCCACCGCATTATTTATTTGTTTTATTTTCATAGCATATTTTGATCTTACATTCTTCATGACTAGCAAACTGGGAAATTTCAGCTTCAATGTTTGCTACGCATCTTACTGCTACTATAATGCCTCTCCAACTCATTCAAAACTTCACGAATGTGCCCCGAGAAATTCCGAGGCAAGTTATACTTATGAAGCTAGAGTATACGAAGCAATAAAACTGACCGTCGTAACATGCTCACTAAGAGTTCGAGAAAGGGCATTGAGACATGCTGACTGAGTGGTGTTCGGCTGGCATGGACTCCTCTCCCAGGTAAGTGAAACCGTTGATAATGTGCCTTCACTTCGAATCTCCATCAAGACCATATTTTATTAAACTAATAGTGCTACAGAATGGCACATACCATTGTGACGCAAACTGGGGTATGAAAATCATTGGCTGAAGTCGGATATGATGCGCAAGAGCTTCCCCCCGCTGTAACGAGTGGGAGCGGAGCGCGGCGAAGCAGGGTACGGGTGAAGCGGAACGGGGCGCCGTGAAGATGAAAATAAACTTATTTCAATTTTCGATTTGATCGAGTTTCTACCATTTACCCATTTTACCCAAATACATAGTCCAATTACATTTTCAAAGGATTTGGCAGCTCTCGAATTGCAAAGGAAAATGTGCTCCATTATCCAATCGGAATCTTCAATGTCTGATGTCACAACATAGGTGTCAAAGATCAATGACGAACATAATGACTGATTTCTTGTGTGGCTCAGTGAGGTGTAGAAAGACTTGAAAAAGGTCTTGATAGTATACAATGGTATGTAGTTGGTCTTGGATTTTTGCTGTCATTCGAGTCGATTAAACTCGAGCAATGAGAGTTGGTATCAGCGAGAACATTATCGCTTTGAATTTACTTGGTATCCCTTTATAAATTGCAAACAAATTATAATAAAATATTTTGTGTGTTAAATAAAGTGCCATTAATTTTGTCTATCTACAACATTAATATGAATCTTTTCATCAAAGTCTAAATCGCCTTTGTTATGTAAACTAAGTTCCTAGAACACACGATGCCCAGTTTGCTAAAAACATTACGCCTAAAAATATAGTGCTTCTAAATTATGTTCGCGTTTATGTCTTACCTTTCTCTCCTCAGAATACATGCGTAGAATTAATTCAATTTTCTTCTTTCCGTATTGATACAAATTCGATAAGTCATTTAACGCGAACTTTCGGTTCCTCAGATGTATTGTTCCGCAAAGTTATCCTCCATCTCGTTTTCTAGAAACGCCATATTTGTGACTAGTGCGTAGAGTGAGTTCCCTCGACATCGCATATTCAAAAGAAGTCTGATATTAGGAAGAACGGTCTATATTGGATGCTATTGAACTTTCACTTTTGTAAGTTTTGAGTGAAATTTAAATGAAGACCTCGGGGTAATGATCAGTCAGTAGAAAACAGTGGGAATGTATTAATTTTAATTTGATTCAATTTGAGTCTTGTCTTTGAGTTCAAGTTATTTCAGAAGAGTTCGAGCTATTTCCCAAATCGATTGCTATTTTTATTTGATCTATTAAATATTTATAAAAGACTTCGGCAAATAGAAACCAATTACAGAGTTGGTTTTCTTTTCAAATACTTTTTCGGGTTATTATATTATCCGTACAGGTTTACTACAATGTAACTGTGTGTAAAGTTCGGCAGAAAACTATCTCTATTATGTGTAGTTGCTTTTATCAGTAGAATTGAGTCGTCTACTGTAATTCTCATTGATTCTACTATTTCTGGAGGATTTTTGAAATATCTTATGTGTAGATATATGTTTGTAGTATTTAAAAAGCAAGGTAATGATTACTTCCATGCACGTATCTTTTAACTATAAACTGAAATTCAACGTACCTAATTAAATTTTGAATCGCTGCGACGTCGAGAAAGAGAGTGGGTAGACTGCTCTTTGACCTGGGTATGATACAAATGTACATGTTTTAACAGCACTTTAGGGCGAAAGCAATGTTAATGACTACTTTCATGCAGGATATTAGTCTTGTATATATTTGGCATAAACTTCAATTCCTTAACTGTCAAAAATTAACATTTTGTTCATCAGGAATGTTCATAAATTTGCTCAACCTATTCAGAGGTCTCGCGACAATCGAATGTTTATTTTTAATTTAACAACAGGACTAACGAATATGCACGTTGGAAGTGGAAGAATAAAAAGAAAGTAAACATACGTATCTAGTACCTTGGTGTGATATCTAATTATCGCTTCGTGGTTAACACTTATGAAAGGACTTTTCACTTTATATCTTGCCCAGACACAAGAAAGAAAGATGGTAGACAGTGTCGAATGTATCAATTTTAATAAATAACCGTGAGCATTGTTTTTTCCGTATCGTAATAAACTTTGCCTTCAATCATTTATTTCAAAATCTTCATTAGAACTGCCAATGAACTCGATTCTTTCTACCGTTTCCAAGAATCGTCATTCGCTAGTCGAACGGGAATTCAATAACAGTAATGTAATTTGGCAAAAAATTATACACTGCTGCTTATGTCATCAAAAGGTTTGAAGTGGGGACCCAGAAAAATATTGAATTTACCATTAAATTTGTCATGAACAAGTCCAAAACTTTTACTTTAAGGCATATGCAATATTATTTATCAATCTCTGTTTACCTTTATTATGTTTTCTTCTTGTTAATCATTCTCAATTAAGAGCTTAGTTTTAGCATGAGTAACTTCTGAAAATAAATTCTATAACAAAGATAAGAAGACAACAACTTCTGTAACAAAGACTTCTGCTCTTTTTGTCCTTCCCTCTCATCATTTTCTTAATACCCTTTTAAAGATAGTGCTTGGAACCTATATTAGGAGCGTTGCTCTTGGAAATATTAAAAATAAAGACTGTGGTAAAATTCTTACTGACTGAAAATTCATTGTTAATATGAAAGTGTTGAGTATTAATTTAATACGATTCCTCAAATTCAGAATAGTTTTCTTCTGTATTCATACTCTGTAGATACACACTTCACAGATTATTTGGTAACTTTTAGGGAAATTTCCTTGGAAGTACAAAAAATAAATATCTGACTCTCTTTAATGACATGTATTCACAAAACTGAAAGAAACAATTTTCTTAACTAGTTAGTTCAACTGTTAACTAGTTAGTGTAACTGAAGTTCAACTCTCCCCCTTCACACACACATATACATCCAGAAATAGAAAGAGCTATATTATTTTTTATGTACTATAATGAATATTATTGCATTTATAAGCATTAATACATTTTAACCCTTTTTTAGCAACAGTGGAAGTGTTTGTCATTTAAGTAGAATTTGTAATCAAAGAAAAAGAAATTCCATGTTGGCCTGCGGTGCTCCAGGATTTGATTACTACAGTGGGTATCAGGAATCATGGATGAGTACAAACAGGTATTCTGAAAATTGAGTCATTTTGACTCTACACTTGCTTTGAAAGCTTTGTGCAAATCAGTAATTTTAAATTATTATTGACTTCAGGATTGAACAAAATGATTATATATCAGAGAGTCTTAATGGTATTCATATGCTGATCGTTTTACTAGAAGAGAAAGTTCTACAAAATGAGGTAAGTTGTATGAACATTGCATAATCCAGAAGAATAGATATTTTTCAGAAACATACAATCTTGCAAAATGTGATTGGTTTTGAAAATCATGTGATAAATTCAGTTGAAACCATTTTTCATTACAATTAATTACAAAGAAATATTTATCAACTTTGTTTTGTTGATTAAAATATTTAGCTCACTAGCGTACACAGATTTCCATGTATCTTCTTCACTTTTTACAATTACTTTCATTTTAATGCAGAAAAGTAATAAATTGTTTTGGAGACCATTAATAAATTATGTAAAACAAAATTGGAAAATTTTCAACACCCCCTGCCTCTGTAATGCACCTGCAACACACGCTTGACTCCCCCTCCCCCAAATCACATTATGCTTGCAACATTGCTCCCCTCTCATTTACAAGAAGTAAAAATATAACACAGAAAAACAATTTGTATTTATTTTTGGGTACATAGGTATTAAAATATTTGTTAATTTAAGTCAGAATTAGTTAGTGGTTCTTATTGCACTTTCCAATAAAATTGAAAATAATTTTTGAGTGAAGGAAGGACCCATAGTTGTGAATTTGTGACAACAAGCCAAGCACATGCTGTTGTGGATGACACAAGGGCAATAGTCTACTATGCCAATTTAGTTGGATTCTAGAAAATACAGATCAATTTTGAACATGCTTTTTTGTAAACAAACAGTTTCAATCAGTTTATTGCTACAATGAACAGGTAATATTTTTTTAATTTATTAAAAAAATATATTTTAATGTTTTAGTATACGTCTGAAAAAAAATTTTTTCAGCATCTCTTGAAAAATTTAAAGAAAGTAAACATCAGTGTTATGTAACACTAAAATAACCCAAACACTCCTACCCCTATGTAACATAGCACAATGCAGCTTACCTCCTATTTAGTGTTACATAATTACGGATGACTCGATACTGTCACACATTTTAGTCTAGGAAAGAGTTAACCTGATTATCAAATTTATTTTCTTAATCAACAATTGTTTTCTGATGTATTAGTACATCTGAAATCAAGAAAACAACAAACAACCCTTGTGAATGAAGGGAATATTTATTTTTCAATTAATAATCTGAGACCCTCAGCACTGAGGCTTTCATGATAATTTCATTGTTCTTGTTACCTTTTTTTTCTTGATTTATCAGTTAAATCTTAATTATAAATTAATAAACATGGCCACAGCCCTTAAATTAAAACATTATGTTGTTGCCTATATCAGATTGATAGTTAGCGAGCGAACACGAAGGAAATCATAAAATGCAATTTAGCAATTCTTTCGCAGATTCATGACCATTTTGCACTTGTATGCAATTTCAAATTTTGCGATAGATTTCGCATTTTATTGTCTATTGAAAACCTACAGAAATATAATTGCATTAACCGAGAAACATACAATTACTAATTTGTTCAGCGTTTGGCAACATTTCCCATTTTTAGCAATTGCTAAAATCTATATCTAGCAATCATCAATCCTGACAAATCAAATGCAAATATGGACCAATATAATACTGAGGATTGATCGTTATAATTGATTTTTATTAAAATTAATTGTAGGTCTTCTTGCAATGCTTCCAAATTAGTTTTTGTTTCCCCTTTTTCCATAATGGAAAAATTTGCCCCTGAATGCTCATTGCTTGAGGTACTGTTGATGCTATAGGTTGTTAATTTGAGCCTGATTAATGAGAATTTTCTTTGGGCAAGGAATATCAAAATCAATAAAATTCTTAAGTGCAAAATTAATTAGAATTTAAGTTTACATTCATTTGATCTAAAATCAAATCTTCAGTGAAAAAACAACTACAATGAAAATTTTAAATTAAACACCATATTATCCATTAGGTCTTGAGTCTTCATGTTACCCTACCTCTGAATGTTTTGTAACATATTAAATGTTTTATATAAAACTTTAAAAAGGAATTTCTGACATACATATCTTTTGTCATTATTAGCAGATCCTTTACTTATGTTTCAAATTTATAATTTTATTTTTATTGTTTCTTTTGCATCATAATTTAACATTTAATATATTTTTGGTTTCCTGATACCAAACGTATGTTTTTCTTTCTCCTGTGTGCAATATACATTTCTCATATATGTATATTGTTTATATACAGTGTACATATTCAGAAAATATTCATTTTAGAGTCCTAGTCATATGCTTGTCTGTGCACAATGCTGTCAGAATTTTTATTAAAATCAATGTTATGATGAATTTGGGTGATGTGGCCCCTCAAATTTACATGATCTTTAAATTGTTAGGGGTATTTTATATTAAGTCCATAGAACATATTTGACATTTTCGTTAAAAACTCAGATTTTTCTAAAGTTGTAAAAATTCAAATTTTTTTTGGCATACAACTAAAATATAAGAGATAGTTTTTTTTCCCTTAATGATATCTGTTCTTCAAAGATAGATTTGTAAATAAGGTTGTGTACAATTTTTTGAAATCATGAGTATTTTTCACATCATTTGGCATGAAATGTAGCCATATTTAATTTTGTTTAAACAATTTTTTCTCAAAAATGGCTCCATTGTTGTTGGATAGTCTGAAGAACCTTTAAGAGAATGGTGCAGGTCTCATGTTTGTTAAAAAGACTGATTTTTGGAAAATTGCAAAAATTAAAAATTTGTTTGGCATCTTCCTACAACTACAATTATGAAGATAAGCATTTTTTCTTAATGAAATATGTTCATTAAAAATGGGTCTAAAAATAATGTCATGTTCAATTTTTCAAAAATGTCATGAGAATTTTTTGCGAAAATTTGTGTCAAACATAGGCAATTTTTATTTTCATTAAACCACTTGTTCTTAAAAATGGCACATTTTTTTAAATTTAATTTAGACCTTAAATAGCGTATGGACAGCGAATAGAACAGTGCAAGTCTTCGATGTTCTTTAAAATGCCTGATTTTTCAAAAACTTTAAAAAATGTTTGGTGTCTACCTACAATTACAATTGTGATAATACAATTTTTTTAATGAAATGTGTTCATCAAAAGCAGATCTTCAAAAAGGGTCATGTTAAATTTTTTGAAAATCTGAGTATTTTTTTGTGTAATTTGGTGACATACATAGTCGCTTGCTCTGAATTTACTGCGCTTCATGAACATATTTCCAGACAGTTGGATGTTTCGTAAGTTAAAACTTTTATATTTTATATTTCTTTGTTTCTTACATCCAAGCTTTTATTGTACATTTACAAATTAATCTTTTAGAAATTATTTGAAATACATGAAATGAAAATTGCTAACCTTCAGGGAATATCAGTTTGGAATGCAACAATGACATAGGAGCTAATTTCTGTGAATTACATCTTATAGTTGGCACATGATTTAACTGTATGAAGCACAGTTATAATCGTCAAATTTGTGTTGATATTTACTTGAAAATATTTAGTTTTTGTACCAAATGTTCTATGATTTGTAATGAGTTTTACAAAAAATGATGACTTAGATGTGTTAATTAAGAGAAAAATTGAGGTATAAAGAGTATTACATAACTATTACTAAAGGCAAGAAAATACATGCTGGTTTCAGCACCACTAGTTTTCCTGGAGTAGAGCAAAATACACTAATACAAATAGTGCAGAATTGCCTTCAGTAAAATCTCTTGAATTTTTGAAACTTGTGAAAAGTTAAACATTTTTCAACAGATAGATATTTTTTCTTAATCAAATCTGTGGCTCAACATTAGTTCTTCAAATAATTTTCTGTTCTTTTTTTTTGATAATATTAGTTTTTAGTTCTATTATGACAATGATTAGATTCCTTTCAAAATAAAGTTTACTTTACAGCATGTACCAAAAGAGTCCACAGCACAAACAAACATTGGCCTCAAGGACTTCTGTGCTAGAGTTCAATGCCCATCCTAATGAAATATTTTCTTTAATCCTTTTGTAAAATTGGAGTACAGTACAATGAATTCAATGATATTTTCATTAAATCTTTTGAATTTTCAATAAATTAAAGATCAATTTTTATTTTCTTTCAAATCTTTTGGGCCTTATACGGTTAAGGTTTTCAAGAGACGGCAGAAGAATTATAGAAATATAAGCTGCAATTATTTAATAATATGTACTCATGACTAATAATACAAGAAAGTATGTGCTGTTTTAGCATAATTATTTTATCACGCTAATCATCATAAAATAATATTCTTGATAAATACAACTTGATTGCAGAAATATTTTCAGATGTATCTTATGAAGAGAACACAGCTTTGTAATTTTCACATTACTTCTTTTATTTTATTTTTACAGCAAGAACTATCTCACCTCCAGAGGATTATTTGGAAATTGGAACAAGAAAATGATTCTTTTCGAGAAAGACTTCAAAGACTTGAGGCAAGTGTAGCAGAATTATGGCAATGTAACACAAGTACTGGTAAGTTCAAAAATATTTTTATATGTACTTTAAATTATTCAAAAATGTATTTTTTAAATTCTTTGAAATATTTAAAACTTATCAAAAATGTAGTTCAGTTTGTATATCATCCTGAGTTAACTCAAAAGTTATACAAGTACATCCCGTGAAAATGTATATCTACAATAAACTAATGTTTCTAGTTGTAGGTTTATTATACCAGGATGCGTTTTCTATTTTCTCTCTCTCTCTCTCTTTTTCCTCCTCCCCATATCAAATGGTCTGGTTTAACCAGAAATATATGTAATTCAGGCTTATTAAAATCCACTTTCTTGTTTAAACTATGATTAATATTAATAATGCTGTGCTTTATATTTTTCTCCTTTAGCTAGTAATGATAGTGGAACCTACTCAGAAATATCAAGTGAGTTATTTGAAGATCGTGATCATAATGATTTACTGGATAATCAAAGTGGAGGCTCTCCTCTTCACAACTGGACATCATCCTTCACAGAATCAGCCCTTCCTGGATATGATGCTCTCAATTCCCAGCTATTCTGGCCTTCTAGTCAACCTGTACTGTGCTACTTTTATGGAGTTCCAGCTGCTCCACCTTTTGTAAACAATGAAACTGTGTTTTTTGATGGACAAGAAACTACTAACAGTTCAACATATTATTATGGCAATGCATATAATGTGTGAAATAGGTTCTTAAATAACATTCATGTAGTTTTTACTTCACACTACAATAATTTATTGTATCTGTAAATATTGTTTACATCATTGAATATTTTCATGACACATTAAAAGTTTTTTCTATTCATTGTACTTGCTAGGATGTAAATAATTGCTGATAAAGAATAACGAGATTGCCTTTAAATAATATACAACCAAAATAACAGATAATACCTGCATGAACATCTTTAAAATCTTATACTTTTATACCTCGTTGGCTAATTTTATGATGCTGCAAATGAAGGGAAAAAAAGGGACAGGCAGATAGTCTGATTACGTCAGTAATTTTTCCCCTGGGAAGTGCACTGATAATACAATTTGTTTGATTTGAAAATAGCAAAAATTATCTAATCCTGAGTATACTTAAGAAAAGACATTTAATACTTTCTGACGTAATTGTATTATGAATGGGGAAGAGTCCTCATGATTTTCTTATGACAAGAGGAAAGTTGTTGCATTGTACGATAAAATTAATGTAATACACAAATAAAAGGTGGAGCTGTAAGAAATGGGTGAAGATCTGAAATAGAAAAAACAACTGCCTTTTGTATTAGGAGTTAGGAGGCATTTGCCCTCTATATTTACTAATGTGATTATGTGTTTGATTTGTTTCTCGTGGTTCAATATCCCTTTAAAACATGAAAATGCCGTTGTGATATTCCTGTTAAACAAACCGCATTACTGCCTTCAGATCACATATTGTACTTTCCCATAGAGTAGTTGATCTAAGTCTGAAACATTCCATTTAATTGGTGAAAGGTCAAAGGGAATAATGGAAAATTCTCTGAATGGTGGATATCATGCCACAATGATTATTTTTCATTATTTAAAGTTCTTGCATTTGAGCAGCTACGGATGGCAGTATTTTATACTTCCGAGAATAGAGAATAACAATTCAAATATTATACTGATCTAGTGGCCTGCAGCTACAAAAAATGCAACAGAACTATACTACACAAATTATTTTCCAAAAAGTAGCTACAGCACTAGAACAAGAAGTAAATTCTCTTTTTTAGCACTACGACACATTAAATATTTTAACAAAAATGATCTTCAAAATTCTTGTATAACAGTATGTGTTGTTGATTTTAATTAGGTTTTTACCCAACATAACAGTGAATGACCTCTATACTACAAGGAGTTTGTGGTAGAGCATTACATAACATTCCCACAGAGAGCTTAGAATTAATTTTAGAAGTTTTTTTATTTTATTTTTTATTGGGATTTAGACCACTTAACTTTGCCCTTTTACTAACCACATTCTTATTATGGACATCATGGATGAGATGGTCACTCTTGGTGAATTAGGACCTTGTATTCAAATATATACACGAAAGGCTGCAGGTTTCAGTTTCATACAAGGCACTGAGGTATTCACCATGTCATTGATTGTTTGGGTAATTAAATCAATACTTACCCTATATGAACTTTATTTTTTATACTATAGAAGGCAAAGGCGACCTGTCAGTCATCAACTGCTTGGGAACAGTTTGCTTAAGGACATAAACCACCCCTTTTGACTACGCTCAGAAATGATTATGACATTCATCTTCAAAAAAGAACTGATTCACGTGTGACACTTGACTTGAAATTTCAATGAATAATTTGCTTTCACTGCAGCACTTCTAAATATTGCCTGGTTTATACACGTTTTAATTTTCTCTCTGAATTTAAGATTGTGACAATAATTAATTGAAAATAATTAATACAGATCAAATTTTGAAACTTTACCTGAAAAAATCCCATTTGTTTTGGGCACAAGAGTTGCCTTGGATATAAGGCAATATTCTTCATAGTTGAGTACCTTTAGCTACCAAGAATTGAGACCATTTAATGACAAAAGCAAGTTTGTTAAATGTTCTTTCAGAGAGTTTCAAGTGTTCTTTTTTCACTCTCAGTCATTTAATGATTTTCTCAATGTATGAAACATACTCCCATACATTCAGCCGTAACGTTCCAAGTATACACTTTCATTAATACACGAAGTCCTTTTAAGATCACAAACTAAAAAGAGAGAGACCATCGACGAACAATTTTGTAATGTATGGGGGGACATTGCCCATCTAATTGGGAGCTTCAATACTACCAACTGAAGTCGTGGCGAAGCTTACTATTCGATGACTTGTTTCCCTCTCTGCCCTTTCCTGCCAGCTTGTTTGTTTCCAGCCAGGAAGTTCCTGTTTTTATCTGAGTATACAGAGTATAAATTGGTACAAAAACGGTGTAAATTTTCTCACACCATGGTATACAGTACGATTTATTTAGTCGTTCATTTGACGTAAATCAGCATTTCCAGTTTCATCCAATCGGGAGCTTATATGTCGCTACAGTGATGTCACCATGGGGACGTTCAAGGTCTCGATTGGATGAAACGGCAAGTACACGGTTTACGTCAAGTACATAGTTCAATAAATTCTAGTGTAAATAAGCAAAATTGCTAATGTACTAAAATGCCGGTAGGTAGCAGGAGCGACGTTTCCAGAGTTTGCACATCGAACTAGAAATTCCCATCCAGGACCGCCCACTTCTTTGTTAACGCTCCATGTCATTTAAGTGACGTGGCCGGCTGGTTGTTGGCAGTGTGGTGTGTCAGTTTCGTGTATTTTACTATTCATTTTAAGGGGATGAAGATGATAACTCTATAACGTTCATAATTTCTAGTGAGAAATTCTTTTATTTTTAGGAATAAGTGTGTACAAAGTGCGAGTGTACTCATTGTAATTCCATTTAGTGAAAATGACAACCTACGAAGAATTTATTCAACAAAATGAAGACAGGGATGGTATCAGGTTTACTTGGAATGTTTGGCCTTCTAGTCGGCTGGAAGCAGCACGGCTAGTTGTGCCTTTAGGGTGTTTGTATCAGCCGTTAAAAGAACGTCCAGATCTACCTCCAATTCAGTATGATCCTGTACTCTGTACCAGGAATGCTTGTCGTGCCATCCTTAACCCTTTATGCCAAGTAGATTACCGTGCCAAGCTCTGGGTTTGTAATTTTTGTTTCCAACGCAATCCTTTTCCTCCTCAATATGCTGGTATTACAGAGCAACATCAGCCAGCTGAGCTTATTCCTATGTTTTCCACTCTTGAATATACCATCACCCGAGCTCAGTGCTTACCGCCAATCTTTTTGCTGGTGGTGGACACATGTGTTGATGAAGAAGAGCTGGGTGCTCTTAAAGATTCATTGCAAATGTCCCTGAGTCTTTTACCACCAAATGCTCTCATTGGACTTATCACATTTGGCAAAATGGTTCAAGTACATGAATTAGGAAGTGAGGGATGCTCAAAAAGTTATGTGTTTCGTGGAACAAAGGACTTAACATCAAAGCAGATTCAAGACATGCTGGGCATTGGTAAGTGAAAGTTACTTAATTTGGGAATTTTTACGATGTGATGTGTAACATATTGTGAGAGTGCGATTATCAGATTTATCATCAAATAAGTAGTTCCTGGTTTTGTTTTGGTGGTAACAGTAGACAATTTATATTTTATTTTCCTCTCTAATTTTTTGTAGTAAATTGTTCTATAAATGAAACAATATATTTAAGAAAAATTAATGAATTTTAACGCTGTAATAATTCAATGCATGTAAATATGTAATGGAAACAATTACTTTAAAGCAAAAAATATCTCATTAACAATGTCACATAAACAATAAGTGCTTACTTGGTAGTACATAAACAAAATGCAAACACAGTGGTTCCCAGACATAAAATTCTACTGTGTACCTTATTTTTATGATGATCACTTTTCAATTACGTTTTGGCTGCTTGCTGATTTCTAAACAGATTTATTAAAAAATCTTGTGACTAAAAGTATTCTCATGAAATCAATCCAGATTTGCAAAAGAAAATTGCCATTACTCCTTATTCAGGCCAATGCAGTGCATCAAGCTCTGATAGTGTAGCAAATTAAGCACTGGTAACGTGAAAAATAATTTTATTTGTTCTGTAAATTATTTCAATTTATTTTAGGGGAAAATTGATGTATTTCTACGAGTTATAAATGGACGTGTTTAATACATTTTTTAACTTATTTTTTATAAATGCTCCAATCATACACAATAAGAAATTCTTAATTATTTCTGCATAAAAAATTGTTACCGTAATAATAATAATAATAATAATAATAATAATAATAATAATAATAATAATAATAATAATTAATAATACACACACAAAATTAGTGGTTCAGGGATGCACTGTTGTGGCTTTCAAGTTTGCAGGCGTGTTACATTGTCAGTGTGTTTCTTATTTTGATGTTTAAAAAAATAATTTTCTAGTGAATATTTCTCGTTTTAATTTTATCTTGTGTTTTAAATTATAATGTATGTTAAATAGCCAAGAAAAGTTTAAGACAAGTAAACTATATAAGGAAATTTACTAAAGGCATAATGTAAAACCCTCAAACTGCAATTCTTGGTGAAATATTATCAGTTTTTTAAATTTAATTTCATATTATTTCACAAGTGTTTTTGGTAATGTAAACATATTGAAACGGGTAGTTTTTTTATAAGATTTTGAAGTGCCAAATATTGTATTTACCAATTGTCAGCTATTTCATGTTATGGGAAGTTGGTACAATTTCATGTAAAATGTCAACTCCATATTATTGTCATAAATATGTGGGAATCATTTATTTGATTGTTAGAAATCATGTGAAAGCTGTTAAAGGGCAAAATTTAAGAATGCAATCTTTATAAAATTCAAAGAAAGAATCTTTTGCAGAAGTTCATTTGATATTCTTGGGGTTAGTATACATAGTTATGATTTTTTGGTGCTTAATTTTCCATTTTTGTCATTTTAAATCTTTAGAGCAGAATAATTGCATAATATATTTAGTGATATTATGATTAGTGTAATAGATAAACGATTTTCTGTATGGTTATGTTAGTAGTCTCTGCTGTATGCCCTGAATGATGTTCAGGGAAATAATATATCCGTAGAGCTCAGGACTGCAAATAATATTAAAAGTAACCATGGTTAATCAGTAATTTCTAGATTGTATTTCCGAAGAAATTAGCAAAATTTTCATGACTTGAAATGGTTGAGACTTGGTTTTACCTCGACTGCCATTCGCTTCGCTTCTCACACACTTTCCCGTTAGGAACCTCTTTCCTTACCACAATTTAATTCTGGTGAACGAGCGTATCGTGACCAGCCGACGGTAAAAGATAAACATCCGCCGCAGCATCTTCGGAGTTATTGCAGTTTCATTCAAGGGCTCATTAAGAGTCTCTCTTATCAAGTTGCAAGCAGTGTCAAGCCGACAGAGATGGTACTTTCGTTCTTTCAGATGGAGCATCTTCAAAACAATTTTCCAATCCTCCCCCCCCCCCCCTGTTTAATGCGCAATTTATACTTGAACGTGTAAGACCTTCTGAAATGCTAATATCAATACTAGTTTCAAATGTTGAACAGATAAGTTTTCTATTTGGGGTCACTCGTATTGACATTTCGCAACTTCGATAAAGAATGACCTTTCACTCTTATTTTCGGGAGTAGACAAAGTTAAAATCTTTCGTCATTTATCTTGTGTTCACAATTTTGAATGCGCTTCTCAATGCTTTAATTAGTATTTTTCCTTCATATTCACCTACATTTCAGGCGTAGGGAGTATTGACATTACCTGTCACATCATGACCTACTTAAACTAGGTTCATTATTCACATATTTTTTGATTATTTATTTACGAGAGATGAAACTTGAAGTAATTTCAAGTGGATTCTGATTTCAAATAGCGTAGTGAATGTTTCGTTTTAGATATAACACGAGCCACGAGTTGTCATCATTCGAGAGCATGCGGTAAGCTGTGTAGACGTGGCATTGTTCAGGTCGTCGTGGTTTTTGACACGTGTAATCGTGCTACTTTTTCTTGACTATGATTCACAATACAACTCAATGTTCAGAAAGATCTATTCCCCTTAGAACAGCAGGCCCTTTTGTTAGGACTGGTAACTTGAATCCCATTGTACATTTGTATTATTGGTGAATTGCAGAATTACTTTTTATGACTCTTTGATGCATCTTGTGGTATTGCGGTTTAGATTTATTTTACTCAAGTTTGGAAGCGGATACATGAATAATTAAATAACATTCTCTTAAATATTTTTGTATTAGCTTGAAATTAAAATACCCCCTTCCTCTAATCCACTACTGCACACCTGATTCGTAACAACGAAGCTCTGACATCAATATTATTTAGCCACTTGAACGCTGAAGTTTGCTTCCCGCCAGTTGATAGGCTACGTGTGCTTTGTCAACTGTGTTATTTCAAAGTCTTTGATATTTACATGTCCTTTACTCTCTGATGTGAATATGTGCGCCGGTTTCGCAGTCGTGACCTTTGAGTAGAACCATCCCAGCATTTGCCTGGATGACCAAAGGAAACTTCGAAAACTCCGGTCAGCTTGACCGGCACGAGGATTGAACCCGGGCCACTGGAACCCGGGCTTCCGTGTTCCACACCCTTAGCCACTTCGCTCTGTTTATAAATAACTATTAATTAACAAATAAAGAAATCAGAACAAATGAAAAAAAAATTATGAAAACACGAAATCCACTGGACATTAGACTTATACCATCATCCCATAAAAATACAGGTTGCGTCAGTGAAGAAAGCCCATCCTTACATAATCTTGTAAATTCGGGTTTAAAGGTTTGCCTTAAGCTAAGAGGGCGTCCATAAATTGCCCCCTTTAAAAATCACGTAACGTTTGCGACAAGCCCCCCCTCCAATTGCAATAATTAAAGTCAATTATAAAGCAGAAACGAGTTATATTAATTGTATTTGTGTTATAAATTACAAATTATTAAAATTAAGTTGAGAAGTAGCTGGAGGTGCGGACTGGGCATAACAATACGTCTGGGGACAATTTTATTAAAGAAAGCACGACGGGGAGTCCAGAAAATTTCTGACAAGACGTGCACATGGATCACGCATAGGCTCCGAATCTACTGCATCAACTAATTGAATTCTAGAATATACTTTAGACCAGTTTGGAATATTTTCTTCGTAATCTAAAAGATTCAATCAATATTGTTGAAAAATATTTTCATTTATTGTAACAATTGAGATATCCAATGGGAGAGAAGGCTAACCCACAAAATTCAAAATATCAATTTACGAATGTATTCAATTATGAACGCATTGAATGTCAATAAATCGATGTCTCAATTTACAGAAGATAACTTTTTTCATATATTATATTTTGATTTTAATTTGTTAATCTGAAAATGTTTTAGTATAAGATTGAATAAAATATATTATTTCAGCAAAAGTTGAAAGATTTTAAAAACAAATGTGAACACGTAACACTAGAACATGATCCCCCTACCCATATGTAACGCTACCTCAAACTCCGTTCCTCCTCTTCAGGGTTTCGTAATTTATGGACGACCACTAATCGTATATACGTCTATTGCTTGTTTTCTCTAATGTTCTGAAAAGACATTTGTAGGCTGTACTTCTGATTCGTTTTCCAGACATTATCAATATCTTTGTAACACATGAAATAATTGAAAAAAAGTCAGGCGCTTTCGGACAAATTGCGATTTTTGCTTGACCACGTTTTCGCGATCGATGTCCGGAGTCTAGAGACTTGGCTGGCTCAAACTGCGTGTCCTAGGGCCTGCTGCCAGAGCTTTTGGCACCTTGCCTAGAAAGCGGGGTCGTTTGCTCGACTTGATCTGTGCGTGGCGTTTGGTTTTTGTTCAGAGACAATGAAAACCATGAAGTCATCTTAATTGAGGACACGAAAAAAACGTTTTGAAACAGAATATTATTAAAATTTCTCAAAGTTCCACAGAAACTTACTTTTACTTTGGTTTATGTGATATAGAAATTTCAGCGTTGGAAATCATTATCTTTGTTTTCGCTCAAGTTGACTGTGCATCTCACTTCTATGGCTGTTATTAAAAAATTATGGGCAGGATCCGAATGTCGTATGGAATTTGCAGCCTACCCAGTCACTGCAATCTTTTGCTAAAAGTGAATGAATACTATTTCCAATATTCATGGCCCCAGGAATAAATTGGGAGCTTACATAAAGCTGGTTGGTTGTGGCGTGCTGGTGCAATAAGTAGTTCTTAGTAAAGAGGATTAGATAGGTTATTTTTTTGACAGTGCAGAGTGGGAAAAAATGTAGGGAACATGAGCATCACTATTACCAAACATTTTTTAGGGGGGAGGGCGATTCTGTAGATAATGCACAGATAAACGGGGATAATCCTTCAATAGACTCCATGTAACAAAAATATTGTGGGGAGGGGGAAGACGCTCCCTTGGCGGGGAAGGTGTATGAATGATGTATGTATCTATTTTCTTGACATATTAAGCAGAAGTATTTTTGCGTATTACTAAACAGAGTGAACAAGTCGCGTATTACGCCTAGTTCGTTACGCCTAGCCGGCGTGGCGCGCGCACCAGAGCCCCGAGCCTGACCGCCTGTTCGTTTGCTCCGCAGGCAAGTTCGCGAGCCCGCAGCAGGCGCCGCAGCAGCAGGGCCCGCCGCAGGCGCGCGGGCCGGGCGGCCAGCCGCTGCCGCCGGCCAACCGCTTCCTGCAGCCCGTGCACAAGTGCGACATGAGCCTGACGGACCTGCTGGGCGAGCTGCAGCGCGACCCGTGGCCCGTGGCGCAGGGCAAGCGGCCGCTGCGCTCGACGGGCGTGGCGCTGTCCATCGCCGTGGGGCTGCTCGAGTGCGCCTACCCCAACACGGGCGCGCGCGTCATGCTGTTCGTGGGCGGGCCCTGCTCCCAGGGCCCCGGTCAGGTGGTGAACGACGACCTGCGCCAGCCCATCCGCTCGCACCACGACATCCACAAGGACAACGCGAAGTACATGAAGAAGGGCATCAAGCACTACGAGGCGCTGGCCAACCGCGCCGCCGCCAACGGCCACGCCGTCGACATCTACTCGTGCGCTCTCGACCAGACCGGCCTGCTCGAGATGAAGCAGTGCTGCAACGCCACGGGCGGCCACATGGTCATGGGCGACTCCTTCAACTCGTCGCTCTTCAAGCAGACCTTCCAGCGCGTGTTCGCGCGCGACCAGAAGGGCGAGTTCAAGATGGCGTTCAACGGCACGCTCGAGGTGAAGGCGTCGCGCGAGCTGAAGATCTCCGGTGCGATCGGGCCGTGCGTGTCGCTGGGCACCAAGGGCCCCAGCGTGTCCGACACAGAGATCGGCCTGGGCGGCAGCTGCCAGTGGAAGTTCTGCACGTTCAACCCGAACACGTCGGTGGCGCTGTTCTTCGAGGTGGTGAACCAGCACGCGGCGCCCATCCCGCAGGGCGGGCGCGGCTGCGTGCAGTTCATCACGCAGTACCAGCACTCGAGCGGGCAGCGGCGCGTGCGCGTGACGACGGTGGCGCGCAACTGGGCGGACGCCACCGCTAACCTGCACCACATCAGCGCGGGCTTCGACCAGGAGGCGGCCGCCGTGCTGATGGCGCGCACAGTCGTCTTCCGCGCCGAGACGGACGACGGGCCCGACGTACTCCGCTGGGTGGACCGCATGCTCATCCGCCTCTGCCAAAAGTTCGGCGAGTACAACAAGGACGACCCCAACAGCTTCCGCCTCGCAGAGAACTTTAGCCTGTACCCGCAGTTCATGTATCACCTCCGGCGTTCGCAGTTCCTGCAGGTGTTCAACAACAGCCCGGACGAGACGTCTTTTTACCGCCACATGCTGATGCGAGAAGACCTCACGCAATCCCTGATCATGATTCAGCCCATCTTGTACAGCTACAGTTTCAACGGTCCGCCGGAACCGGTCTTGCTGGATACGTCCAGCATCCAGCCTGATCGAATCCTGTTAATGGATACTTTCTTCCAGATTCTTATCTTCCATGGGGAGACCATTGCGCAGTGGCGACAGCTTCGTTACCAAGAGATGCCAGAGTACGAAAACTTCCGTCAGCTGCTGCAGGCTCCTGTTGATGATGCTCAGGAGATTCTACAAACTCGCTTCCCCATGCCTCGATATATTGATACCGAACAAGGTGGATCTCAGGCGAGATTCTTACTTTCAAAAGTCAATCCATCACAAACCCACAACAGTATGTATGCATATGGTACAGAGGGTGGAGCCCCGGTTCTTACTGATGATGTGAGTTTGCAAGTATTCATGGAGCACCTTAAAAAGTTAGCAGTATCATCGACCGCCTAGCCCTCTGCTGGTTCGGATTTGCATGGGTGGTAGTTAGCCCATGATGGAATTCACTCGTTCCCTGACACACTCGCACAGACATGCACTAGGCTTCCGTTCCCAGTTCTGTGGCCTTAGCCGCCTATATCTAAATGTACATATTACAATTAAATAATTGAATTTGAACACTTCTTTGTTGTTCCGTTGTGTTGTGTGTACCTCAAATGGAAGGATCTTTTAGATCTAAGAGGTACTAGATGATCAAATGTATATTGGGTTTCTGGCACATAATATAGTTATTATCCACTTCAACTATTACTGCTTATAAGAGGAAGGAATAAAACAATTACTTGTGATTATGGTGGCCCTAATGTCTATGGTGAGAGCCAGAGCCCTTTCCCTCAGATAGCCAGCATTTGCCTTATGGTATTATGGACAGTGTGTATGTTATACTGAGTGGTAGTTGTGAATGTAAATTAGTTAATGCAATCTGTTGTGTATGTGTAATTAAAATTGTATTGGTCAAATAAATTATATTATGTTGCCTTAGTATTGGGTGGGAAAGGGTTTTGGTAAATATTCTTTATTTTACTGTTTTACTTGTAATGTATGATGGTTGTGTTTTACACCACAAAATCACAAATTGCCTGAAGAGATGTATAAAACAATGCCATTATTGATGTACAGTATAAATCTGAGAAATACAATTTTTTGAGGTAGTGTCGTCTTTAATTCTTTATTTCCTCCACTTATTTTAATTGTGGCTATATTCAACTTTCATGATAAATTTGAATTTCTCATGGAGCAAGCTCTACAGACCACAGTCGATTCCTGAAGCTTCTGGCAAAAAATATAGGTTCATACTTGTAGGAAAACTTACCAAAGGTCAAATTCTTAGTTTTTCTAGTATGCATACATATAAAATTTCAAGTAACTTTTTTGTTCTCAAATATAATCCTGGTTAATCGACTAGAACGTAAAATTATTTCAGGTGGGATAGCAGTTTATGTCGTAATTGTGAAGTGAAATGTCTGATTTTTGCATTGTTTGTCCAAAAAAGAAAGATTCAATGTAGTGGTTTAAAACTAAACTTATCACACTTTTTGTGTGTGGCACCAGTAATATTTTGTTTGCTTGTTAGTTAGGAAGTGCTTGTTTGCCATTCTGTTGGAAGACGTGTCAGATACAATGGTCATGTGTGTTGGAACTGTGATGTTAATAGAAGTTAAGAGTTATGAAAATATTTGAATATATAATTAGTTCAGAAATAAAAATTAATTACCAAGCATTCTTAAGTTTGAAACTTATATTTATTTTCAAAGCATACTTTACCAGTAAGTTTGGAAGGCACTAAAACTGTCCAGGTAACAATATATTATGAAGGTTGTCACACACATATATTCGGGAGCAGTGCTTTTATTTATGAGACAAGTCCATATTCTAATTGCTTTCATGCGTGATAATTAAGGATGAGGTGCAGTACTTCTCAATGTGAGTTGGAAAATAATATGCAGTGTGTGATTCTTTGTTTTTCTGAATATTGCAAGTTTTCAAAGTAAATTCTGTTCTTTAGCAAGGCTTGCATCCATGCAGGTCCCATCATGAAAATATTGATATGATTATAAATGAAAAATTGGCACTTCGTTTCTTCCAGGTTTTCGTTTCAATCTTAAATTTTATACTGCAAAAGTGCCATCTCTGCCATACTGCCCAATTGTCAATTTCAAGCCATCTTATATTTTTCTTATTTTCACAGTAATTTTACTGTGAAAAGACAAATATCAGATGGCTTCTTCGCCATATAGAATTCATATGTCTCTTTATTTAATGTCAAAATCTGTTAAAAACTGTGTGATGAGCTATGGGGAAAAGTGTATTCTGTGCACATTTTCTAAAATTCTGGGATCCCTACCCAAACCCATATACAAGTTGAATTCTGAATACAAATGAAATGTGCATTTTTGTCAAGAATTGATATTTTACACCAGTGTAATAAAACTATTTGCTAAGGCAAATCAATTACATTATGCACCCAGGGAATTAATGTTTTCCCCCTTGTTTAAATTACAACAATAAAAGCAAATACTAGGGGGCAGATTTTAATAATATGTCATTTTTTTCTGTTCCCTTTAGAATAATGCTGTTTAGATTAGAAATTCATTTGATGTTATGACAAAATATAATGACTCATTTTTATGTCTTTTTTGCTTTTTTCATTGATTTTGACTAATAAGTCATTTTTACTGCATTTTTCGTTGATTCATCAAATTTAATATCATATTAATGGTATGTGCTGCCAACAATATTTACGAGGTGCGACAAATGTTCACAATAGAATTTCTGAGTACTCTATTCTGTTTCTTTGCTCATGTATTGTAATGTCACTTGTTGTGAAAACTATGTAATATAAGGTTCCTGTGACGTTTATCAGTGCCATTGTTAGTATGGCCGATTTTGCAATAAATAAAGGCAGAGATTTTCTTTTAAAGAACAGTAAAAAACCAAAGTTTGCAAGCTTAGTTCACTTGAACAAAAGGAAGAAGACTCGATTCCTCAGTGGCATATCCAACAGTTGTTCCTCAGTCCTCAGTGACATATCCAACATATTCAGTTGTTCATCTGAAGTTGTTTTGATTAAATTTTTTACGTCATTTTGCTTTGTTTTTAGGGCATTTTTAAAGCATTTTAAGAACATTTTATTGATCATTTTTGGCAGTGTTTTAGGTCATCAAAATCTGCCATTATTGACAATGACAGTAAATATATGTTTACATTTTTAAAAATTAACATTTGGCAGAGAAATTGGAGCTGTTTTTACTTATATAAAAAACATTAGTTGATGTACTTGGACCCTGCAATCTTATTGGCAATATTTGTTTTATTTTGATTAGATTTTCTATGTAGCTTTCAGCTACTGTCAATGACTTCCAGCCTCCATGTCCTTTTACAGTTGTTATATTGTTAACCCTCCTCCCTGCATCAGCCAATATAGTTGCTGATGTCCTCCATAGACAATTAGCTGTGTAGGAAGCAAGATATGGCAACTTTAAACATCACGCAACTACCTTTGGAATTTTTGATACAGTGTTTTTTCCAACTGGTTACATGCTGCATTTTCCTGATTTATTATATATAAAAAGGTGACAGTGTTTGATATGATTAAATTGAAGAGCTATATATTTTCAAAAAGCACAAAGAGTTTCTACTTTTCCTTAATTTTCTGTTATAACAAAAGTAAAATTGTTATATTCTTTCAATTTTGGACCTGTGCAATTAAGGATGTTTATGTCTCTTTAAGTAGTCCATTTGCAAATGTGTTAATTCATCTCGACGACTTGCGACATCTACACAGAAAGTTAGAGCTACGTAAGAAAATTAAAATATATATAATTGTTTAAATGGGGGTCAAAATTAATTGATGTATAATAATTAGAATATTATTTATACATTTACCTTAATCATCGAATATTCATCTTCATCTGCTTTTGTCCAAAAGTTTCAATATTCTCTCCGCTTAAAACATTTCAGTTTTGGGAATGTAGCCTTCAGAATTTTTTTAAGAAGCACTATGATATTAATATATTTACTTATGTCAATATTCTCTTGAATTATAAGACATGCCTTTACCATAGAATATTGAACCTAAACAATGGAGAATTCATACGCCTTGACTAATTCAGCAAAATGTGCCAACATGACATTTTCAGTGACATTTAATGTGTTTTTACTTTATATCAGCCTTTAACTTTCTCTGCTATATCGTATCATTTTGGAGAATTTTCAGGTAATAAATTTTCTATTGCTTCCTTAGGAGCATCAGAAATACAGTTTGGCTCAGACATCAATCATTAATTATGCAGTTGTGTATTGACGGTTTCTATGGAATTTCAAAAGAAGTCTTATTCACATATCGCAAATTCTAAATCACATTATTAATATTTTTTACTGCAATTCTTACAACAATATTGTGGATGATGAAAATATAATATATACATCTCAGGAGAGAATGCATGATTTTCCCCTTAGTTTAATTGTAGCCCTCGGGCTCCTAAGTCCTACTGAAAAATCATGCATTTCTGTACCTTGAAGTATAATTGAGTATTTCACGTTAAGTGAAATATAGTATCATCTTAATATCTGTGCTCTACAGTGGGAACACCCAAAGACCTACCACTAACAGTTGTTTATGTTTTAACAATTTTCATGTGAAATTAACATACATTGTCTATTTTTGTTGAAATATTCCTTAATTCTGTTTATGTACACACTTCCAATGGAGAAAAGCAACATTTTCGTCATTAGCATGAAGGATTCCTCCACAGAAGATACCTGCCTACCCTGCCTTTAAAAATATGTGAATTTCAATCCAGAGGACAAATATGTTTGCATATTAGCATGAAAGTGCTAAATTGACCAAAACATCAAAACATTAGAGAGAATAGCATTCTTTTTTTTTATTAAATACAAACAAATCTGAACTTACTCTCATTGCTATTTAATAAATTGTTCTGTTTTTCATCACATTAGTTACATGTTACCTTCTACTTGTAAATGCATGATTTAACATAATAGAACAAAAAATAAGAAAATGTTCTCTTCATTAATTTCACTTCATGAACTTGTGTTTTACATTTTGCTTACAATTGATGTAAAGAACATTGTAAGTTTAAGTCAAAAAATGCTTCTCAGACAAGGTCGATATTTATCAAAATTACTAATTATGAATGATTATAATGTACAGGCAAGTAACATATTATTTCATGTCAAAATGGAAGAAAGATAAAAATTGCTGTTTGGAGTATCTCATTCTTTCAATTACTGTCCTAAAATAAAATTACAAATGTAATATAAATATAAACAGCATGAGAGAGACTTAAAAAATTATGTTTGTGTAAATTTTAAAAAGAATAAGTGAAAGTGGAATTTATGTTATTCAATCTATTTATCTCCATACATTAAAAAAAAAATTGAAGTAAAATTTGGAGTCATTTTCGAGAAAATGATGTTTCAGCATTGATGAAAATAAAGAATTTAAGTTTATTTGCACTGAAAACTTTTTGAGTTTTCGAGAAACTTTATCAGGCATCATTTGAAGCACATGTATTCATAAATGCAATACTGTACCCAAATTGCAGGTATGTAATGTAAATGTTAAAGACATGAAGGAATATCAAAATATTGTGAGGAAACTAAAATCTTCAAAAAAATGTACAGGACCTTAATGAAAAAAGTAATTACAGAGAACAAATTTCATTTGAAGAGAAAACCTGTTTTCAATTTTAAAGTAGGAGGAAGATGCTAAAAAATGAAAAACTAACTTAATTCATCTTTTTTTTACATATACTCTTTTCTTTAAAAAAAAAATTGGAATCAAATTGTGAACATTTTGAATACGTCCTAGAGGCTTCACATAAAATACCCTCAAAATTTAGAGAATACTTTTCAAAATTGCAGAACTTTGAGTTGAGCCAGATCGACTGGGAAAACATTCATTTTGTAAAAAATCATAGGAAGAGATTAAGCACTAGAGTTGCTCACAAACGAATGGATTTACTACATATTAGAAAAATATTTACCCACTTTTTCTGTTTCAGTGCCCCCACAAAACAAGTTTCCCTGTCAAAAAATTGCCTTTTTTTGCTACAGCATTACATAATTATCTCTATATAATGTTCATTACTCCATAAATATGTACCTACATGAGAAAGTAATAATGATAAATACAACAACCATTCAATTTTTTTCTGACAAATCCACTGTGAAAAGAGCTCAGTATTAAAAAATAAACATAAATGAAATATAGTAAAAAAATAATGCACTTGAAATAAATGTCATTTAGAAATTTAATCCAAAAGAAGAAATTGTTTAATGAATTGTTTGTAGTGTAAGAAGTATCAAACTGCCATTTATTTTTTATGGAATGGAATCTCTTTTATTTGAGAAAATGGATTGTTTTATTTTTAATTGTTACGTGTTTCTAAATATAAGAAATAACTAGCGGCTGCTGTAGCAGAAATAGTCATCACCAAAACTACACCAAATGATTTTCCAAAAAGTAGTGCATACCTGCTCAAGAACAACAAATAAAATACTCTTGTTAGCACTGGAACATATGAAATATTTTCACTGAACCGGTCTGCACAAATTGTACTATACCATAGTACTGTACATTTGGATACACAGTTCAACAGTTCTTCACAAACCCAGAATATTAAAAAGTAGTTGTTCCACAATGCATCACAAGAATAGCAAATATTTAAAGGCATGCAGCCTCCTGGAGTTTGCGGTTTGCATAGTTGTTTGTTTTGTTTCAATTTCTGTGATGCAATCAAAATTAGTAATACAGATTGGGATTTACTGAAAAGTATGAAGAAGAGAAATCCTGTAGTGTTGGGACCAAAGAGAAATGCCAGTGACAGGAATAGTCATTGCAGAAACAGAACAGGTCCATGGAGGATGTTCTGCTAAGGCAATGCAGAATTGTACAATTTGGCAGAATGTAACCATTTTTTTAGCATTCTTTCAATTTCTGCCTGCATTTAAAATTAATAATATAGATGTTTTTGTATTTTCCTAAGTTCCTAGATGTTCAACGAAGCCAAATACACCTCTCACACAGTTAGTGGTTACTTTTATTAAAATTGCGATGGAAATTAATAATACAGACATGTCAAACTGAAAAAGAGCTTTTTCACTATTTTTCACAAAATATTTTTTGTGGTGGGTTATTTTTAAAATTTATTTTATAGTATGCATACAAAAAAATGCATAACATAAAAAAATATTGAATTTATTGCAGGCAAGTTGTTAGTCTTTGTCACATGTTGAATAGAGAAATTATATTGCAATGATTCATGAGATTTACACACAACAATTGTTTCTTCAGAAGAATTTTTTTTTTTAATACAGCTTTCCAGGAAAAAGCGATAGAACTTATTTCAAGGAGGAGAGGTTCTGCAATAATGTGGATTAAATGCCTAATACCAAATTTTCTATTTTATTAACGGCTTTAATTTTGTTTAATTAAACTGTTTAATTTAGTTTAGTAACTTAGCCCCTGTTTGTTAATTGTTTGTTTATTGATTAACAGAAGAATACTTTTTATAAAGACTAAATTTATCATGAAAGATTATGGGAAGCTGTGAACAATTCATCTAGTGTAGGTCCATTTGATATTATGACATGCTGTAGGCCTAGTGAAATATAATTTGGGATCAAGAAGACACACATATAAATAACAATAGTCATAAATATGTTTTATTTTATCATCTTTTAAGATAAAAAACATGACTCTCTCACATACACCAAAGCAGCAGATACATATCAGAGGGCAGCTTTCAGCTTTGCTGGAGGTCAAGAGCTGGAAGCTGCCCATTAAAGTCTACATAAAGAAATTAAATCTTAACTATTCTAACTTAACCTAAACATCTAACTAAACTGTTCTAAATAATTGTTATATGAATAAAATATGAATGAGGATTCAGGGATTTTGAATTGGAAGCATGCAGGAATGTTGTTTAAAGTCCTCCGTTCCACCACAAGTGCCTGCCGCCCACAGGTCTTATTTTCAGAAGCTTGAGACAAAATTACAATACGCACTTTGGTTACATATGGTGTATTATGTATAGAATAAATGGGCTCTGCCTTTTTATAATATGAATACTTTTGTACTATAAATGCTCAATGTGGTACAATATTCTCACTCTCTCTATATATATTGCAAGTCCTGGTCTAAGGAGTGTTGTTCAGTAGTTCGTACTGTGTAATTATTGTGAACATTTGGAATTTAAGAATTTCAATATTTAAGATGTTGTTATGTCTTTATCTCTTCTTGAAAGAATTGTAACATTGTTAATAATATCTTATTGAGTTTCTTTAGAACTATTTTTGTTTCTGATTTCTTTGTATACTTTTACAACTAGATGAATGCATATGCTCCAGATTGTTGACTTTTTGTATATAAACTGGAAGCATATGAGAATTTTTTAATGAAAGATGGGTACTATAGACTAGACCAAGTAATTGCCTATTCTATTAGAAATATTTAATATATTTTTTATTTAAAGATTATTGAAGTTAGTAATATACTGAGTCTATAATAAAACTTTGTAATTGTTTTCTTAACATTTCATTATAACATTTCTCATTCACTTTAATTATTTTCTACCCTACTACATGAAAGGAGTAACTGGGTGGAGAACATGTGATTTTTAAAAGTGTAATTTTTATATAAATGAAAGATCTAAGAATAAATACATTTTTAACTACTTAAAAGCTCCCTAAATGGGATCGATACAAGACTAGTTCTCATCCAAATAATGTAGCTGACGCTTACTGATAGTTAAATGCATACATAGTAACGTACAATAAGTATTTATTTGTCGCTCTTCCTCTTTCTCCTTTTAAATTCACCAGGCTTGATAGTGCGCGCGAGTGTCGTTTTGTGCTGCGCCCTGGTGACCATCTATTGCACTAGACGTGGGTGTCTGCGGCCGGCAGCGATACAAGTGCGCAGTCCCCGCTGGGTGCGAACTTGTCGCCCGACAGCTTCTCAATCTCTCCCGCTTCCGCCTGTTCGGCCATCCTCTCGGCGTCCATGCGGTCCAATTCGTCTTTACTCATGTGGAAGACGATTCCTGCGCCGTACGCGTCGCCCAGCACGTTGATGGATGTACGTATGCGATCCCTGAAGCAAATAACATGCTCTGGAATTAGCTGTATCCACTGGGGATAGGCAGGGATTTGTTTGAAGGTAGAATGCAGTACTGATAATAGATGTTAGAGGAGAATCAACAAATTAAGAATATGGTCTTTTAACTGTTATCGCAAAAAGCTCAAGATGCAACTATGCGACGGTGGCGTCCAAATTTTGTTTGTGAAAGAGATTACTGTGCAGCAGTCTAACACGGGACGAAATGTTTTGATTGGAGTAAAAATACAGCGATATCGGTCAAATATTTACTATATTTATTAGATTTTTCATGTTAATTCTGTTTTTCATTTATTTATTCATTTATTTAACGCCAAAAATAATTTAAGAACTGTGTGTCTTATACTAATGGGGAGAATTGCAATCTGTCCACATTTTCTTGAGCTCTCGCCTCCGCATAGCTCTCGAAATCAAACTAGTAAGATGGATGTAATCAATTTCAAGCAAATGCATATATGAAGGATGAATTTGGAATGTTAATAAAGTTAATGTACCAGAAATTAATCACGCAATAAGATTTTGAGTACATTTTAACCTTAGAGTTAATTTGCATTAGCTGCATATTCATTTAATATAAACGTAATATAAATATAGATAGGCAATACATTCAAAAACATCAATCGAGAGAAGCATATTCATTTTTTCCATTGAGTTTTGCACATAAATAAGTTGAATACCCAACCCCCCAGCGCCTTCAACTCCTCATTGACACACACACACATTCTACGTTCCAATTCCGCCTGCAAGCCTGCGTTTACTCACAACAACCAGTCGACGGCGAAAAGCAAGGAGATGTCGGAGGTGGGCAGTCCGAGCGCGGAGAGAATGAGCAGCATGGTGATGAGGGCGGCGCTGGGGATGGAGGCGGCACCCACCGACGCCAGCGTCGCCGTCAGGCTGACGGTGATGACTTCGCCGATGCCCAGCGGGATGCCGTTCATCTGCGCGATGAAGATGGCGGCCACCGCTTCGTACAGCGCCGTGCCGTCCATGTTGACGGTGGCACCCACCGCCACCACGAAGCGTGTCACGCGCTTGTCGATCTTGTTGTTCTCCTCCAGGCACCGGAACGTAATGGGCAGCGTCGCCGCGCTGAGCGACACAGGAGAAGAGTGGCCACATATTCAGAGCCACCGAGAGGAGAAAATCCGAACCCCGGTTCTAACGCGCGGGTCCTTATAAAAATATTCTAAAGCCTGTATATGCGTATATTATTATTTGCGTATCGGCCATTTCTGGCCGCGCTACACGATTAACACGTGTAACTATGGGGATCAGATTTTCAACTTTATCCCTCCCTAAGACAAGCTTGTTACTCCTTGAATTGTGAATTATGATTTATGTATTATTATTGAGTTGAGTTTTGCTTATTATTATTAATTTAATTATGTATTATTATTATTACTATTTTTATTATTACTTTAATTATTACTATTATTATTACTATTATTATTACTATTATTATTATTACTATTAATACAATTATTATTATTATTATTATTACTATTATTATATTTTACAATCGATGGTATGGATATATTTAAAGACTTCTTTGGACTCTCGACTGCTTACATTCCCGAGTTATAGAAAGCATATTTACATTGGCAAACAAACTCCAAATTTAATTCTTCTGTATTGCCAACAAAACAGTTAATCGCCCCCAGCTGTATTCCTACCATTACAAGCAAAAGGAGAGTACAACAAAACGTGCGCATAGTGAAGCTACATTTATGTCCAGACCAAAACAAGGGGCCATCTCAGCATTTGCTCAATAGATAAAGGAAACTGGACAAAAACCTGACTGATATGGGAGTGATTGATCCGGAAGATGAAGTACATTACTGGTTTCATGTATATTAAAGCTTTATTAAAAAAATATACAATACAAAAGTAAATTAATGCATTATATATAATTTTTTGGCAGACAAAAAATAATTTTTGATGTTCAATATAGTCTCCAAAACAGTTGCATAAAAAATACTTTTAACTTAAATTTGTGAGCCAACTTTAATTGTTTAATGTCATCTACCAATGGGTTGTAAAAGAACGTACATGAGTTGTATGTGGATTTCTTGTAGTGAGCTGCTGATACTGACACTTGATTTATGTGATTTCGACGACGTGTGTTGTAATTATAAGTAACATTATTGCATCAAAATGTGTTCCTACCGTTAAGTAAGTCCGTGTTGACAAAAATTACAGATTCGTAAGGAAATAGGCACGATAATGGTAAGATTCCAAGCTCAATGAAGAGAGGCTGGCAGGGATCTCGTGGATGGCATTTTTTCATTGTTCGATTAATTTTCTTTTGCAATTTAAAGGTCTGGTTACTACAGGATGAGCTTCCCCGGTATGTTATGCCATATCTCAGGCGGGAATGTAAATTTGAAAAATACACGCAACGAGCTGCATGAAGACTGACAGAATTTAAAAGAATCTCGAATGCGTAACATACTGAACTTAATTTAGTGTTTAATTCTGTTATATGTACATTCCATTTGAGATTTGATTGAGATACCTAGAAATTGTTGTTACTTTAACATCAGCTAATTATCTATCAGCTAATTATTCATTTTCAGTGGAGCATGCGATTGCCGATTTGAAATGCTAACATGCATTGAAACAGTTTTTCTTTGGTTAACTTTTAATTAGGTATTACGAAACCAATTTGAAACTTCTCAAATCGTACTATTTATTATTTCTTTTTTGCTAACAACATTCGTATCATCGGCAAACAGAATTGTTCTTCCATTTTTCATAGACGAGAGCATATCGTTTACGTATAACAGATAGAAGATGCATCTAAGATCGAATCTTGCAGGATCCCGTGCTCAATTGGCAGAGAATTGGAAATATAAGTAAATGTTGTCCTTTCGTGCTATTACGGTATTTCTACTCTTTGAGATAGATGCTTAAGGTAAAAGGTTATTCAGTCTAGGGCAATACCACGAATTCCATATGAAGGTAATTTTGAGAGCAGAATGTTATGTTCAATAACGCCAAAAGCTTTAGAAAGATCTAAAAATATTCCAATGGGTGTTTCATTTTGGTCCATACTAGTATATACTGGTTTGGTCCATTTTGGTATACACTCTCTGGGTCCATTGATGAAACATCTTTAAGAAAAGAGAAAATGGCGGTTTCCGTAGATTTTGATTTTCTAAAATCTGTTGTGAGTCTGAAAACGCTTCGTTTTTACTGAGAAAAGTTTCTCTAATATTTTTGCGAAAACTGACAAAAGAGAAATTGATCGGTAATTTTGAATTTCATTTTTGTTCCCCTTTTAAAAAGTAGCTTAATATTTGCTGTTTTGAAAGCATCTGATAATATTCATGTGCATAAAGAAGCATTGAAAATGTTAGTTAACGGATGTATTATGACATGTGCACAAGTTTTTAATAATCAATCCTGAAATTCATCCAAACCAGATGAATATTTATTTTTTAGTTTACTGACTCTTCTGAAGATTTTGTTAGAAGAAGTTTTGGAAATAAACACCGTGTCGAAATTTTTTGGGGAAGCGTATGATGTTGAATTTTGTGGTTTTTAGTCCCTTCGTGAAATCTGCCGCAATTCTTGAAAAGTGTTGGTTGAAGAGATTCGCAACTTTTTCCGCATTACTTTCTTTACTTTTATTGTCCTCTTAACTACATTCTCTACAAAGTATCGAGATGATGTGGTCGTATATTTTGTAATATTCCACATTGCTTTAGCTTTTTTACTAGTGTTCAAAATATCCTGATTATTTTTGCCTGAACTATTACTTTTTCTAAAATTCTGGATCATATGTTATAACGTTCAGAAATTAAGTAAAGTGTACGTTTGTTTTTACACGATATTCTAATTCGATTTTTTGTATGATGACGTTTAGAAATAAAGTACGTTATGACGTTTATGAAGTTACGTTATGACATTTAGACTTAAAGTATCGCGTACGTACTCGATGTTCTAATTCGATATTTTTACGATGTTCTAAACGTTCGTGAAATAAATGCGAATCCCTTCTAAATGTTGCTCACCAACGATGCTCCCAATTTAGCTTGGCATGAACGAGTGTCAAAATAATTGATCACACGTGAAAACCAACTATTGTTAGATGTGGTGACCTTGGCAATGGAGGATGTTGTTTAGGCGATGTTAGGATGACGTTAGATTGTGGCAACGGAGGATGTGGTTGTTCGGTGAATGCAGAATATTTTGTCGCTTTTTATTTGTAGAATGTTAGACTGTTAATCATTCCAATGCATTTTCAGTTTGTATATTAAAATTATGCAGATAAGTGACAACATTATGCATTTTTTGTGATATCATTTCATTTTTAATGTGTGCATGCAGAGTAATTATAATTTCAATATTAACAAAAATTAATATATTTGCATCCTCCGAAAACATTGTTGTCATAGACTAAGACCCCAAAGGTCTATTTATGAACATGAAACTGAACCTTTGTCTCTTCAAGACATTCTGTGATAACAATCAATATCAAAGAACACCTTTTGAAATGTCATGATAAAAAACGACAAGAGGGCGTGGATTGTGTCAAAGTGAGAAATTAGAATACAGCATTCTGAGTGTCGTATCTTTTACGTTACATGTTCTAAGAGTATTATACATTCTAAATGAAGCGGAGCTTCGTTGTCTTATCGTATTATTTCATCAGTAACATTTAATTAATACGCAACAGAAATTAGTAATCCCAAAAATATATTGCAGTCGAATTGTGTAAATTGAGTGCTGTTTTATTTCTGTGTTAATTTTTCTTTGTGAACAAATATATTCCTTTCTTTTGTAAATAATGAACAATTTACATCTTTCTGGAGTGTTTATATATTTCTGCAATGTAAATTTTTGCATTGAAAGTAATTTTTCAGCCATTCGGAATATCCAAGGAGATTATTAGACAAAAAATACTTAAAATTGTCTTCAGAGCTTATTTTTGAAGTTTTGACGTTTCCTCCCTAAACACACTACATATTATATTATTGACATAAAATATTCAATTTTGTATATTACGTTAATATTGTGTCAGTATAAATGGTTAATACAAAACCTTGAAAGACAGAAATATCGATGAACGATGAATAAACAGTTTTTAAAACAATCCTTTCTTATAACACGTTTGGCGTAGAGACCATTTCTTCCGAGAACCTAGTATACCTTAATTAAAACAGCAAAATGCGACAGAGCGTTGACTCACCTAGAGGCAGTGCCGAGCGCGGTCACCCACGCCTGTAGCATGCCTCGAAAGAACGTAGCCGGGTTGCGACGCGTGAAGAAGTAGTAGATGGCTGGCAACGTGATGATGGCGTGCACCATCAGACCCAGGATCACCGTCACCATATACAGGCCCAGTTGGCGCGCTGTTTCCGCCAGGTTGTCGATGGACATGATTTTGCCCGCGATCAGACATAGAATGCCGAACGGGGAGTACCTTACGGAGGACGAGAAGTTCACGTTTGCAATTATAAGTCTTCCACAGTTTTTTCTCGCACCAGTAATCAATATTCAAACAAACATGCATTTATCTTATAGTTACGTATTACTTAAAAAGCAAAAATGAGTGAAATCGCAAAAATACCAAATGCAAAAATAAATTATGCAATGTAAAATATTCAACATTTTGAATTCGCTCTCACAATCCTCTAGAATTGTCTAACTAATCTCTTTAACTGATTTCAAATACAAACTAAAGGGAATTATTTTTAATATTTTTTTAAATACAACTTTTGAGTTTTGTTTACTTAAGATCAGAGTACGTTTTATAAAACGGAAATAAGACTGGAATAATATTTTGGGATTAAATAAAATGCTGCAAACTATAGATCTCCGCTTGGTGATGCACTTTCCTACAATCGACATTTTTACGACACGTAATGGAATAACTATTCAAAAATTTTGAAATATTTTTTGGCAGCTTCAAAAAAATATTTAATCCTTTTTGCATTGAGCCGTCAATTTAAAGGGATGACAAAGCTACGGTTCTTTGGTACTTTCTTTGCTCAATGGTATACGCATTCAGCAATATGCAACACTTACCACATGACAGCGCTGACCAGAGTCATTATGATGTCATTGAGGACTACGAAGAAGTCAACCATCAGTCTTCCGCGCGGGCCCATCTGGCCAGCCAGAAGACCAAACGCCAAACAGAATACGATCATTCCTACAAAAGCAAAGCCAAGTCACTGTTAAGTTTGGCCTGCTTTGGCTTGGAGAACACATATATTTTCAACATATATTTTACCCTTATCTTCAGAGTCAATATTAAGTATGTTTCAAATTACTATTGTGTATGAATAGTTAACTTTAGCACGGGTTAGATCATTATTATACGTCGTATAATAAACAAATTAAAAGCTTTGAAGAATTGAAAAAAGATTACAATTATATGTTCGACATGCCATACTTCATTTAATAGCGTTTATTCCAACTGAGTACGTTTATTATCAATAGAGAGGTTCATTTTATCCCAACAAAAATTAATTTACAATGAAGAGGCGTTTTTGGATTTACATTTGTATTGTAAGTACTCGAGTAGCTAACGGTGGCAGAAAACACCAAAGGCTCACACATAGTCAATAAAGTGATCGCAATAAAGTTACAAATTGAGATATACGAAAAATAACGTTGTACTTTGATCTGTTGGCAACCTTGTAGAAGAAAAATATGTTCTGTACTTTCCTTGAAAATATTTTCCGGACATGTAGATGAAGTGTTGCGAGTTCAGTGAGAATTGCCTGATTTGGTCGAGGAGGGCGGTAAGCTTATAACTTAATTTATGTGGATTGAAATAGGTCATAAAATTTAGGATTTTACATGGTTGTTGATTTACAATGATTGTCCGAGCAATATTTTAATTCATCAACAACATTTCAATTCATTCATCATGAAGGTGTGAAAGTTTCCGGGCACCTCACTGTACGCGTACAATGTGACATCGTCGTGACAAGCACAAAGCCTACTGTACTTGTATGCTGATATGAGTCGTCAACATCAGAGGACTGTATTCTATGAGAATGAGTCAACGAAGAAAACCTTGGAACGAGACAGAAGGACGAACAAGAGGGGTAATTCCATCAGAGACTTTACAGTTCTATTTTCTCACTGTTAACGATATTGTGAAGTGGAAACTTTGGAGAAACCTTGAAACCATTCACTACACAGACAAGCGCAAGCTTAACTGACAGTAACTACCGAAATGAGAAGCACCCGATACAAACGAATCATTACTCATCCTTGTCATTTATGGCAGGAGACATCCGTAACTGGCTAAGTACAGAGAGCAGTAACGATCCATCAGGAAACGAGGACTATTTTCATGATCTTACTGCTCCCAATAAGATCTTATCTGGTTGCAATTGCTGGTTGCAATTGCTTACATTGGTTTGTGAGGCAGTTGCAAGGGTAATAACATGAGTATCGGTATAAGTGGCACTCAGATGGATCTTTTTGGACCTGACGGATGCCAGGAGGTGTAACTACCCGGGAATGTCTTTTCTGATTTGTACCCAAAACATTGACTTTGATCAACTTAACACTGAATGCGGGTGTTTATGAAACACATTTATTACAATGTCGCGAACTGTTCGGCTACAATTTTGTATCGGACATCTTTATCAGTATGGTAATGCTTAAAAATCCAGGACCATTGCGACGTCCTTCGAAAAAAAATAGGCAGATATACTGGACTGGCCTGCTCAAATTCCCGACCTCAGCCTCAACCCAGACATCCTTAGGCTATTGCGGGGTGTCGATTGCACTCCAGCGCTTAACTATTGGCTAACAACTCTTCGCTATGCTTAAGGAAAGAATACCACAATATGTAACATAATAACAAGAGTTAGGTATCGGTACTGAAATTGATCATGCTTTACTAATTGCCTAACATCCATTTTACGTTTTATTAGAGTTCTTGAATGTTTTGAAAGGACATTATATTCGACAATATTGATTCAGAGACATTATCTTAAGACCCCTAAAAATCTCAATAACTTAGTGTATGTTTGTCAAAGCTGCATAGATGGGCATCTACACATGTCTCTGCGGTGCCTGCGAGAGGTCTTAGGATTCCAGTCAAGAAGATAGCAGGATTTTTGACATTGGCTAAATATACACTGCCCGACGATTTAGAACAAAATCCCCCGTGGCTTCGCTTTCGTCAGGTGGCGGGGCGAAGCCCCGCCCCCCCCCCCTGCTCCGGAGGGGGAGCATAGTTGAACTCAAGAGCCGCCTGCAACAACAGCTTATTCGCTCTTAGAGCTTCGTTCCCCCGCTTCGCTCTTGGCAGCGACACTGCTGTCGTTCTCGCATTCGCAAGAGTCAGCGCTCTCAGTGACACTGTCCTCACTACTGCAAACTGACTGCGACTTCAAAATGATGATGATCTGCACCATTTCCTCATCCATAACGTCTGACAATAGGTATTGTCTTACTTTATTTTCCACGTGGTCACGACGCTTTTCCTTTGATCAGATTGAATAATTTTTTTTGTATAATTCAGCTTTAACAGAAAGGGAGCCATCTATTCTTTCAGCTGTTACATGTCCTTTAATGTGCCCCAAGACAAGTTCAATAGGATTTAGATCAAAATGACGAGAGGGAGGTGAAGGGATAGACCACATTCCCATTTTCCATGATAGCATTGTCTACAATTTACCTTTTAGTGAATGGCACACTATTCACATTGTTCAATAGTTGACTCTTATTGAGAGAGGTGTCAGCAGCTACATAGTGCGTATTTAGCCATTCTGTGATGTCTCTTTTCAAGAAAGTGGAGTTTGGATTTTTCTCTGCTTCTACACAAAGGTATTTTGTGTTGCCCGTTACAATGACACTAGTGGACGAATTTCGGTCTCTAGCCATTTACAGAAGTTCTCAAAAGGCATTGCAGTGTGATAGTCGCCTGTTTCCTGATCTGCCGGGACATCAAAAGATCACCTTCAACAAATTCCTCTTCACACCTGCATAGGCGATTATGAATCTATTTCCTTTCCCTATCTTGCTGACTACCCCAATTTCCTTTTGTTATTGCCAGCAGTTAGAAACCAGTTAGAATTCTTGAACATACGCCGCATCAATATGCAAGATATACTAAACTTCTTTTCTGTACTTCTCTGTTCCTTGGAAATATTAGTTCCCCAATTCATAATTTCTGGGCGGTCAATAAGAATTGTTTTAGGAGATTGGCTCCTTTTCCATTTGTAATTAATTTTCGTTAGTCTTCTTCGCAAGTACTCCATTGAACAATCAAGTATGTCAGCCTCCTTTAAAGCCACAATAAATTTATCAAGCGCCGGAGCCTCTTTCTTTAATGAGTTGAAGGAATGAATTTTCTGTCTTACTGCAGAGCCAGTGAATGAGTCCACGTTTATTATTTCCTTCCTTTCTGATGTTTTTACTTGAGTAGTACAAAAAAACAGACGACCCTTTGCTTGGCTTTCCTGATCTTCCTTCATAATTTTCTTCACTGTCAACTCTGAAACGTCTGTCACATCTCTGGACATTTTTACAATGTTCGCATTTGCTATATTGTATGCGATATTCATAAGCCGAAAGTTCTGTGTTACTCCACGTGGACGCTGAAGTCGAAATAACATCAACAGAAATTTAAAGATTCGAAAACGCCACAAAGCAACAAATCGGAGATCTACAACCACACACAGCAGGAAGTGCAAACAAAATGTCTTCTTTCCGAGCGAGAAAAAGTCCAAATAACACCCGTTGTGTCAAATATACGCGAGGAGAAAGGAAGGAAGGTATTTTCTCTCGTCATGTCATTTCTCCTCCCCCCGCAGAAGCTGTTCAACTTGGGAGGATAAAAAAATAAGTCTCGTATCATGAGGAAAAGATATGGGTGAGCTAGATCGGCTCGCCGTTTTTTGCTCGTTCTGTGCAGCACCAGTACACGTCACAAAACAAGAGACCACAACACGGGCACTTCGAATGAAAAGCCAGACCAGACGCTGACCATGTTACATGGCGAGAATGTTACATGGCGGAAAGCGAGAGGTGTTGAGAAACATTTGGAAAGTGGCATCAAGTGACAATTTTTAACGTTGACCAACCAACAGTAATGTGACGAACGTGTAGTTGGAATAAAATATGCAATATTTAAAAAACATATTTTATACAGGCCCTATATGTTTAAGTGACTTGTAACAAGGTGACAATTTTGGTATCTGGCTGCATGTAAAATTTCCACTAATATTGTGACTAAAACTGGTGTCGAAACCTCATTGATTGAAGATGGATAAAATGCTATATAATAGCTCGCCCATGTCTTTTGATCGTGATACGAGATTTATTTAGAAAAAAATGTTTTATTAGTGTCTACCATTGGCGTACTTAATTATATAAGAATAATTGTATAAAAATAGAAAAAGATGAAGTGACGGTGTCATGCAACGCTATTACATCCTTTAGGTGTAAAAAAGAGCATATACTTATGTACATGTATGTTTAATTCATACCCATAACATTAGTGCCGTCTTTGTATACCAGGGATGCCTTCTGGTACGTTGTCGGTTCACCGCTTGCCGTGCTGTTGTCATGGAAAACCACCTTCGCCACCTACAAATGCCAATCGTCTCTTGCTGAAATTCACACACTTCAAAAGTCGTTTTTTTAATGATTTTAAAGAAAAGAAGAAACGTAAATAAAGAGAGAAAAAGACAAATCATTCGCAAACTTGACTCTTCTATTTGGATTCAGAGAGGCATCTCAAGGGTGGCCAAGGACATTAGAGTGGACTGAAACTTCATAGAATTAATGATTTAGACAGTATTTTCAACATTAGTGTCATTAAGACGTTACGTTTGAATCTTAGTAACAATCTCTTGTATCAAGAATACTTGTTTTATTTTTATCTTTGGTTATATTCTTATCTTGTCGAAATTTTCCACAGTTAACCGTCAAACTCGGAGTTGGCTGTGACTCGGAGTAAAGCCTTCATGAAATTTCGAAAAAAAAACTAGTTACAATCCCTCTTTTCAATTAAAGCAGACTTTTAAGTGCCTTCTCTTTCAGTTTGTCAGTAAAAAATGAGAGAAAATCGACCAAGTGGATCAAAACTTTTTTCCCGTAACATTTCGTACTATATTAATTTAATTCATACCAACAGAGCAACTAGACATCGCGTAATTCAAGGTCAAAGTCGAACGGGGAGGGCAGGCGGAGCACGACGGAGCCACGACGCGAGATGGGGTTGGCTGTGACGTGGTGGGAATATCGAAGATGTAAAGAAAATCACTTCCTTTTTACAACATAGATAAAATTCATTCGTGTTCGTGTCTAATGAATTATTATGACAAATGTCCGAGCAATGCCTGTTACTTCAGTTAGTACAATAATAATAATGGTAATATTATTATTATTATTATTATTATTATTATTATTATTATTATTATTATTATTATTATTATTATTATTATTAATAATAATAATAATAATAATAATAATAATAATAATAATAATAATAATAACAATAAAAACAACAAAAACTTCCTCTATATTGGTCATGATAGTCAAGGAATGAATAAACTCACCGTCGTGTAAGTGGTCTGCACTTGTTGAAAGCACGCCTGTATTAAGTTGTCTGGGAACAGATTTCTGTAAACGTTCAAGAAAAAAATTGTTAGGTTCAATATATACAGAATATAATACTTTGTGCTAGGATTATTTAAAACATTAAATAAAATTTCATTTATTTTAGAATATTAAATCTACATAACATAGCGGAATTACAACAATGGTTTGATTCGCGACTGTTAATGTGCTTTATTTTTTAAAATCGAGTAACGTTCTACAATAATACAATAATGCCTCTGATAATACGAATATTTAGTACTACGGGTAATTTTAATATTTAGTACCATGGGTAATCCATCAAATATGACAAAATCATTCCTTATATTAATAATTCATTGTAATGAATAGTAGAAAATAAAAATAATGTCTTTAATACTAAATTTAAGTTATTTTTCATTTCAAAGTTTCAGTTACAGTCTTTCGACAGGCTCTAGGAGACCTCGCTCTCCTCTAGAAGACGAGGAAGCAATTTCAGGGAGAAAGCAGATTAGTATTACGTATTTTGTATAACATTATAAACGCCCTCCTTTGTTGCAAGAAATCGTTCATAATTTGACATTTTATGATTCAGATTATGATATATTTGTCTTTTATGGCACAAATAATTATGTCATCACACATTCAGCCAATTGCAGCGGTTGAATTGGGGTGTGGGTGGTGGGATTAAATCGAACAGTCAGTTTCTTCGTCCAAAAGTCAAATACTTTTCACGTTCAAATTAAGTTGTTTCTAAAAGTAATTTCATATATCATTATTTATATTGCTGTTATACAAAAATTACTTATGCAACTTGTTCATAATGTTGCTTTATTGCTTTCGTACAATTTTAAAAACTCGCTTCTAATGCTAGTTTAAAACATGTAATTATTATGTAATAATGTTTAACATTATAAACTAATGCAACATTTTTTATCAAATAAAAAAATTAAAATAAATTCTACCGAGGTGTATATATTTTGGTTGCTACGAAGCGTTCCAGACACATGAGACGAAATCGTCCCTCAGAGAGATGGAAAGAAGAGAAGAGAAAAATGTATATTTCCGAATAAATGCAAAGCATTTCTAATGACCAGGTGAAGATCTTACTTCGGAAGGTTCGCACTCATATCACAACTTAATATGGGTAGTTTAAAGTGTGAAAAAATGTGAACTAAACATTTAAAAAGTTTCGTGGAGGCTTTTTCTAAGAAGACACTGAGTATTTTGACACTTGAGAGTTTTTATTGCAGTTTATTTTGAATTTGACTAATATCATATGACCAATTCAATGACAGTAAAAATGTACCTGTAAGTCATTGTTGTCTACTGGGGAAATGAACCTGTGGAAGATAAATCAAACTCAGGGTAACGTTTTTCCAATAAGAACAATCTTTCAGAAGAAAGACGCGAAATTACTATTTATTTTATTTATATTATTTTTAACAAAAGGGAAATGCAAACTAAAGTAATGATTTAAAATTAATTAAAAGTATTTCAATTGAGGGTTCTCTACACAAGGTAGTTACCAAATTACATTTTTCAGAATTCGGTACAAAGAAATTGAACTTAACGTAAACGTTCTCATCAAAATTGATCTCCCTGATTTGGAATTCAAATTTTCATCCGTTTGCAACGAGAAAGGTAAGCATCTCAGTTAGTCTAGAGGAGAATTCGAGCGGCCTGTTGCTCTGGTCTGTGGTGTTGTCGATCAACATCCGACGAATGCCGGAGCGATTCCCTAACAAACGGGCCATTGACTACGCACAATATTTCCTTCCTCTTTCTTGTCCTATCTTTCCCCCTTATTTACACACACTTACGTGCACTACTGTACGGCCATGTTGGGAGAGCAGTCGGGAGCTTAGAATTCGTTTCGGGGTCTTAGAATTGGGGCGGTGCCCCGCTGGTGGGAGATACCTGGTTGGAGATAACCCCTCCAACCGACGTGAAGTGTATGTCGGTGCCGAATCTCACCAACCAGCGGAGGAAGATCGCCGTCACGTCAAGTGATAAAAACACGCACTACATTTACAAGTCTAATGACAACAGCAGTTGACGCACACGGAAACACGTAATAATGAATAAATCAATCGACGTGCTTCCGGAATGAAATCATCGTATAAGAATATTTGTATAAGAATACTTCAATACCTTTAAAGTTCAAGTCATAAATGTAAATCGGCATTTCATGTAACAAACGAATCCGCAGGTGACAAAAACCCTACTCTGGATATTTTGCTCGAGCCCCACTGCAGTTAATACAAAATACGTTAGCTGGCAGTCCATTACGGCCACTCTAAGCTTACCAGAAAGCCACGAGCAAAAACTGCTCGGCCGAGAAATCCGAGGGTATGACGCTCAATAATTGTCACAAATGCAACTGCATCAGTAGCCGAACTTCATAACGACTCCATGAAGCCACGGATGTTGAGCAGCTCAGTGCTCGAGCACTAATGGCGTTGAGCCCCCTGGCCGTTAGGGATGAAATACTATGTTGTCTTGACACACTATAACTAAGTTAATGGAGAATTACTCCACGTTCAATATCAAGAAGGCTTGGAACGTTGTTACGCAAGTAAAAATGCAGCAAGTGAATAAATTGAAGTAGAGCTGACAAGTCTCTACTACGTGTAAAAAGCAATCTTGATTCGGAAAGAATGACACTTTTCAGATCCATAGTTTTGAAAATAAATCTGTGTGACATTTATTAATTTGTTATATTTTCAATACATATTCATTTCTTTTATAAGTACTAAATGAAGACATTATAAATGGAATATTATCTTGAAAGGTTCCACATGAAACTATCACGCGTAACCTTCCCTTTTCTAAAGAAGAAGAAAAAACCTGAGGCGTTCGAACGAATACAAGAGACCGAGCATATGAGAAGGGGCAGCTTTACAAGATACAAACATTAGTAGGCAATGGCGAAATTTTGGCGGAATAACATCCGTCATAAGAATTCAATCAAGACCCAATAACATTTCCTCTCTAACAAAAAATAGAAACTGAGGGGTTGTCGAGAAATTCACGTTAGTAAATTTCGAGATATCGATACAGAAGAACCCCGCTAATCCAACATTTCGGATAATCCGAACAAAATTCGGGATGAAATTCGGGAATAAAAACAAAATGATTAATTTTAGCGTAAATGAAGGAATTTATAATTACGATAGAATTGAACAATTACTTATTGAAACAATTTGTCGAAATGAAACGTTTATTGCACTGATAACTACTACTGGTGTATATCATATATTTATGTAGCAGTAATATTCACTTAGAAAAACTTGCAAAATCAAAACTTGCAAATTTTTTTGCCATACAAATCCTATTTGTATATGAGTAATAAGTCTATTTATATGTATGGTTAATTTTTTCGGATAATCCGAACATTTACGAATCCGAACAGACCACACCCTCAATTAGTTTGGTATACAGGAGTTCTACAGTACTTGTAATTCTATATACTTCTGTAGGGAATGAAAAATTGCTCTAAGTTACAAAAAATTCCGTGTTATTAAGAGTCGTGTGATCGCGGTTTGACAGTACTTCACGTTTCATTGTATAACTACAGGTTCACAGTACAACGCAAACATTCTTCATTAAATTCACGTAGTAACATAATTATATTAAATTATCTTGATAGAGACAATTTTAGCTAAGCGATATCTCATTGTCATTTCCAACGTTAGCAACAACGTTGTACCGCAACATCGTCGACAGTAAAGTTCTAGGGTGCCAGTTCCGACGGAGGCATATTTTCGACTCCAGCTACATTCATAGCTAAGTCGATTTCAACCATTGCTTGGAGGAGAATTGTAGTGACCGGCAGCTCTGATTGGTGGTTTTGTGTGGTGTCTTCGATTAATACCCGGAGAATGCTAGACCAGAACTCTAACGAAGGGCTATGGATCGCTCGCGATCTCTTCCTCTTCTCCCTCTTACACTCATTCTCTTTCACACTTTATCACGAATGTCGGGAGTCCACTCGGATGCCTAGAGCTTGCGGTTGAGGTGAGACCTAAATATATTTACTTCAAAAACTCTATACCTGCTACAGAGATTTCTAAATATCTATTAAATAGTTAATGTAAAACTCATTTATATAAGATTTAATTCTGAAATAATGTAAGTTCAAATTAAATTGTTAAAATTTACTTACCGATATGAATACGATTATTGTAAGTGAATTATTATATGGGATTGTTATTTGAATGTAATATATATTATGAAAGTAGATAGTTAATATCTTGAAACAGTTGTTTCTTTACTATTTGTTTAGTACAATGCAATTGTTCAAATGTTCAGAAATTTGGCGAGTTCTTTATAGTATTTACAAATAGAACATACGAATTGTTGTAGTGAGTCGCAATAGCATACTCGAAAAGCAATTATTCTTCCAAGCAGAGTATTGCGGATGATATCTGTACTTGGTACTAAATGCTTCAGAGCAATCATTCTATTTAAGAACATGAGAAGTGTTACATCAGTTAATAGGTCCATTACTTAAAGGGGTCCCCTGAATATCCTTAATAAAAAATTTAATGCGAAGTGACCATTTACTGGAGGGTACCAGAGCTCTGATATGGTAATTTCTGTAAGGCATTTTCCCCTAAGAACCTCTTTGTTTATACAAGTGGCTTTCAAAGTAAGTTGAAGTGAAAAATACATCCTCCCTCTAAGAGCTCTTCGATCTATCACCAGAGAGCAGTACTTTTGATGCATGTTTAGTTCCATTTTGTCTTCCGGTTATATATGTTAAGAGAAAACCATTTCGAGGAAAACTTGCCAAAAACCACTGGCCTGCTGATGTGTGAATATATGGATACAAGTATGTCACGACAAAAAAATGTCATCTGGGACATTGTGAAATCATTTCGTCTCACAAATATTTCGGGCTAGTTGCTGACACATTTATTGAGCCGGTAGATGTAAATGCAGAACAGTTAAAGCTATTGCAATGCTTTTATTTGCATTTAATCAATATTCGTATAAACATTCTAAGAAAAATATTTCGTCCTTACAAAAAGCAATCTCTA